TAAAAGGCGCCCTGGCTTCCCCTCCTGGCTGAGGATGAGGATGTGCTGCATGCCCTCAGGCCCTTGCTGGGACTTTGAGCTCCGCTGGGCCTTCTCGGCCTTCTCGGCCTTCTCGGGCCTTCTCGGGCCTTCTCGGGTGGGAAGGTGAATGAGTCCCGCGCTTGGCCTCCTTGGCAGCCTGACGGGGTCAAATCTCAGGGCTGTGGAGCCCTGCCCACATGCTGGGACTACCCGGGTCCCCTCTGTGCTCCGCTTTCTCCCCGGGTGGCCGTTGGCCCTTTCGTGACTCCCTCGACATGTGCCCAGGAATGGGTACACCTGACATCTGTCCTCGCATGGCTGTAGGTGACAGGAGGGGGGGCAGGAAGTGATGAGCAGCTACTGAGGGAGGAAAGAAGGATGCGTGAGGGAGGGGACAAAGGAGAGCGGATGATCTAGGTCACCGAGCTGAAGCCGGAGGTGGCAGGGGGAAGGAGCGGGAGAGGAGACCCTCTCCAAGGAGAAGGGGTTCAACGCAGGGTCAGAGACCCGCCCCTATTACCACCCACACGAGCCACCCAGCCCCAGGCCCCCACCCCCATGCACAAAGGCCACCCTGATGCATCACCCTACCCCCACGTCTGTGCTCACCCCCCCTTCCGCCAGCCCACATGCTCATGCCCTCCGCCCTCACCCCTCCCACATACCCCCAACCCCTGGGCCCCTGGGCCCGGAGAAGGCGCCCCGCCTCTCCCCTCGCCACCAGGGCTGGGCGGGTTCCTCCATCTCCGGCCTCCGCTTCCTGTGCTCCCACCGCGATGCGCCTGTGCAGCCCACTCCCCGCAGCGCCGGGCAGAGCGGCCCGTTCGCGAGTGGGCCGGGGCTACACTTAGCACCCCCAGGCCGTGCTCCTGCGGATCTGGCCACGCAGGCTGCCAGGGAACCCCCTTCCCCTCCAAGAGCTGTGCAGCGGGCCTCCCTGGCCCCGGCTGCCCCTCCAGGTGCAACTGTGGTGAAACACTTTTTATCCTTTAAAGATTTTATTTATGTATTCATGAGAGACACACGGAGAGAGGCAGGGACACAGGCAGAGGGAGAAGCAGGCTCCCTGCGGGACTCGATCCCGGGTGTCCGGACCATGCCCTGAGCCGAAGGCACACGCTCAACCGCTGGGCCCCCCCAAAACACTTCTCAAGTCCAGAAAAAGTATCACATCATCTTGGCATTGGGCGCGTACAACCACCCACCTCAGTTCTGGCCTGTGGGCCTCGGCATTTTTCCCTTAAAAAGGCGGATTTGGAGCCGCCTGTGCAGACTCATCCCTGACCCCATTCCTTTCCCTTCCCTGGCTTTGTCATTCTGATGCCTGTTTTTTCCTGTTCGTGCCATTGAGCGAGCGGGGAGGGCTTCCGGATACCGCAGGTGGGAACAGGGCCCATGGGGGTGGGAACAGGGCCCGACTTAGGATCCCTCTGCGGATGGTGGGCCCTTGGGCTGTTTCCAGGGCTGGTGTCGCGGTGCTGCTGCTCACAGCCCAGCTCCCTCTTCTGTGACCTGGTTCTCCTGCCGTATTGGTTGTATTTTCTTACTGTTTGGTTGGAATTCTTCAGAGAATATTCCGGATAATCCTTTATCAGTTCTATGCCTTGTATGCATCTTCTCCTCGCCTGTCTTACCTTTTCACTGTGTTTATGTCCTTTGTTCAGAAGTTTGACCTTTTAACATAGTCAAATTTATGTCTTTTCCATTCTTCCTTGCCCACTGTTCGTCTTAAGAATTGCTTCTCTGTTCCAACATCAGTGACATTGTTCTCTCACCTCCAAGGTAGGCAGTTTTGCTTTGTCCATTTAGGACTTTGCTCCATTTCGGATTGTTTGTCAGGGGCTTGGAGTGTTGGCGGCAGGGGAGGGAGGTGGTGAGCAGGAGTGGGTCTTGGCAGGACGAGGGCAGGGCTTCCGAGGAAGACGTGTTAACAGAACGCTGGGTCGATACTGTGTGCCTGGCCCCTGGACCCCGGCTGCTTTGCTCATCACCCCACACTTCCCCACCGTGCCGGTAGCGCTCATTGGCTCTGGCAGGGGCTCACTTCCAGCTTGTCACGGCCTGTCTCTGCCCCACTTATCTTCATTAGCTTGGGAACACCCCCTGACTGAGGAAGAGGAGCTGAAGGAGCACATGGGTCAAGGGAAAGGCTGCCGGGCGTCCCGGGCATCACCGTGATGACCCCATCCTCCTCTTCAGGTCCCAGCCCACCCTGCATCCCCCCAGCCCCACTGTCTGGGCCCAGTTTCCATAGCAACGTGGCTGCAGGAGAGCCAACAGATGCCAGGGAGAAAGACATTCCTGCGTTTCTCACTGTCACCTGAGCCTCCCCTTGCACACTTGTGGCTCTGCTCCAGGACTTTCGGGGAGACACCTAGCCCTTGGAGATCTCGAGGACAGCCCAGCCCTTCTGCGTTTTAGGGAAGCCCTTGAGTTAAGGGCAGTGGGGAGCTGGTGAATGTCCGAGACAAAAAGCCCTGATCTGGAGCAGTTGCTGATTTCCGTGGTGGAAATAAATACTCCCATTGTGGCCACCAGCATGGTGTCCCTCAGCACGGAAAGAAATGCACGGGCACACGCCATCGTACAGTATCTCCTGTCTCCAGACACACGAGGCGCAAGTCACCCTAACAGTGCAAACAGGAGAGTGGAGTAAAATAATTAGAAAGTCATGAGCTTGGAGTACTTACTGCCTTTGTTTTTTTTTCTTTAAAGATTTATTTATTTATGATAGACATAGAGAGAGAGAGAGAGAGGCAGAGACACAGGCAGAGGGAGAAGCAGGCTCCATGCAGGGAGCCCGATGTGGGACTCGATCCCGGGACTCCAGGATCACGCCCTGGGCCAAAGGCAGGCGCTAAACCTCTGAGCCACCCGGGGATCCCCACTGCCTTTGTTTTTAATATAATTCATGCCGTTGGAAGATTATTCCATCAAATGTTGGTAACGGCTGCGCTGAACAGCTGGCTCGCAGATTTCCTGACCGCTTCACAGCCAGCTCTGCTAGGGTCTTCGAGGCCATTGCTCACATTCCCTCTCTCTACAGCCTTGCCCCCGGCGCCCTGCCCACAGCTTTCCAGATTTCTCCTGGGCCCCCCGCGCCGCCTCCCCGCATCTCCCCGACCACACGGTCACACTTAACCTTTACTTGGAAACTAATACCTTCTTGGCTGATTTTTCTTTTCTTCCTTATGGTTTTCTGTATTTTTCAAAGGTTCAACAATGAACCTGTGTTTCTTTTATAATCAGACCACATTGGTTAAAAAAAAAATCTTTTCTGACCAGGGAAAGTTTGTAGGGAGGGGAGCCATTGATACCGAGATTCTCTTCTACAAAGACATAATCAAGTAGCAGATATTTGGGTTTCATGCCTCGGAGGAGCCAACGGTTGGCCAGGGGGTCGTGGGACTCTTAAGACGGCCATCTCCCCGGAATGACATCAGGGCTGGTCTGTTGAGTGGTGGCCAGGAGAGCCGAGTTGGATCGGGCATCTCCATGTAGAACTCCCATCCCCCTGAGACCCCCGGGGACAGAGGTGGCACTGTGGGAATTCGGAGACTGAGATGACCCGGCCACTGTGCCCAAGTGTGGCGCTTCTCCCCTCCTCCTGCGGAAGGTCTGTCCACGGGCAGGTGATGGGTGGCAGGTGCTGGGTCCACGGGCCCTGCATCCTCTGTGCTGACTGGTGAGGACTCCGCTTCCACCTGCAAGCAAGCCTCCCTCTCTCCCTTCCCCTGATGCGGGCCAGGTGCCCCTCACTCAGGTAGCCTTTCCTACCCGCCCCCTAGGTGGGGTGTGGCCGGCCCTCTGCTTCCTTAGGGGCCTCCCAAAGGTCTGGTTCCGTGGTTACCCACTGGGCGTAGCCATTTGGAGTATCCCCTGGTGGGTGTCCTGCCCGGGCCCAGAACAGCCCTTCCACGAGCTGTTGAGTGAACCAGGAGACCCTGCCGTGCCCCCTCCTGCAGGACCCGCTTCCTGATTCCCACCTCCCACCCCTCACCGGTCTCCTGGCACATGCCCTAAATTCTGGCTGTGTTTGTTTGGTCCTAAGTCTACTGGCGTCCACACCAACGAGCCCCTCGAGGTCACACTCACCCGACAGTGACCATCCCAGGGCCCGGTGCATATAGGCTGCTGCAGAAATCAGTGTCCGGACTGGGGCCAGCCTTGTGTCCCCAGTTCCCTTGAGGGCGCATCTTGCTCCACCCAGCTGGTCCCGGAAAACACTGCACCCTCCACCCCTCCCACCCATTGTGGTCCTGCTCTTCCCGGAGGCTTCACCAGGCCCACCTTCTGCCCAGCTCTGACCACTACGCAGCCTGGTCCGGCTCATGACCTTGACTCACTGCCTTCGTTTTTGCTAAACTTCGCTTTCCTCATCTGCACAGTGGGTTCTTGGGGTCAGGATTCAGGGGAGAGACGCACGTTGGGTGCCCAAGAAATGGTGGCGGTCTTATGAGGGTCACTTCCTCGGCCCCTCCCTCAGGTCGCCTTGCCATGTCAGGACGCTCTGTGCGTGTCCCCCTTCTCTTCAGCGATTCTGTTGTTGCCTTGAGGACAGAGGTCCTGTCCTTTGTGTCTGTGTACCTTTTTCCAACCCTCCCGCCTGAACCCATTTATTGACTGACTCCCATTGGGAGAGGAATCAAGATCTTCTCCAGCCCTGACGGCAGATGAGCACAACTGGTGCACAGTCGCTGCCGAGGGCCACTCTCCGTGGATCTTCTAGACCCTAGCTCTGGCCTCAGTGCTGCTTGAACGACGAGCTGGTCCCGGAGCGAGGAGGATGGGAGCGTGGCTGGCTCCCGAGGGAGGAGAGCTGGAGGATGTTCTAGGGTGGGGGCCGAGCCCCCAGACCCGGTGCATAGTCACGGGGGCACCCTGATCCCCAGACAGCCCTGTGTAGGGGCAGGGCTCAGGAGTGGGGCTCACCGGGGTGCGGGTGGGCGGGTTCTCACGGGGGCGTGTCTCTGCCACAGGTGAACGGGAAGGAACTCTCCAAGCTGTCTCAGGAGCAAACCCTGGAGGCCCTGCGCTCCTCCAAGGAGCCTCTGGTGATCCAGGTGCTGAGACGCAGCCCCCGGCTCCGGGGGGACAGCTCATGCCATGACCTGCAGCTGGTGGACAGTGGCACCCAAACCGACATCACCTTTGAGCACCTCATGGCGCTGGGCAAGCTGCGCCCGCCCACCCCGCCCATGGCCATCCTGGAGCCGTACGTCCTGTCTGAGCTGTGAGTCGCCCTCAGGAGGGCCCCGGGCCCTGCCTCCAGAGAGGGCACGCCACCCAGAGGCTCCGTTGCCGCAGCTCTGGGCGTGGCGGGGAGACCCCGAGCGGCAGGCTCCTTGGCCTCCAGAGCTTGACCGTGGCATCCCAGGGCTCCGAAATCTCTAGGCCCTCTGCAGCCTCCGGCTGGACAGCAGCCGCTGAAGGGCCCGGGGAGGCTGCCACACAGGCTCCCTAGGGCATCTGCCCCCCAGGGCGGGGGAGGAGCATCCCGGGACCTGGCTTCTGGAAGGTCGCGGGCCTCCGCTCCTCCTCCTCCATCCTCTCTCCTCCTCTGCCGTCCATCGTCTTCTGCCTCTCAAGCATCCTTCCTTGAATCTTCTCACATCCTGTCTGTCCCATCTCTCCCCCCGCTCTGAACTTCCTCCATCTCTTCGGCTTCCTTGGCCCACTCGGAAGAAGGGCCTCTCATCCACGCCTGGTGGCTCATTCTGCTAATCTAAACCCCGTGCTGCAGGGCGGTGGTCCCGGGATCCCCTCCTCCGCAGAGAGTGAGGCCCCTGGCCGCCGGCAGCCACGCTTAGCCGTGGGGCAAGGAGGGCTGCCCCGGAGGTAGCGTGGGTCCTCCTCTACTCCCCAGCAGTCCTCTGAGGCCTGGATAACTCCTGGGGGCGTTGCATGAGTGGGGCCAGTGCCGGGCGGGAGGGGCACCTGCACTTCGGAGAGCTCGGTACCCTGCCGGCCGGGCTGGGCGACAGGGCGGGATGGGGTGGGAGAGCTAGGCATGCCTGTGTCCTCCGTGCAGCCCCCTGCACACCCCCGTTCAAGAAGCATTCCTGGTCTTTGCATGGATGCATGTAGCTCAGACGGAGGAGCTCCACGCTGAGCTCACTGGGACCGGCCAGCCCGGGAGCCGGGGCTAGGGCATTAGAGGAGCAGATGGCTGGCCTGACCCCCCTTCTCCTGGGCAGCCCCCCCATCAGCCATGAGTATTATGACCCGGCGGAGTTCATGGAGGGCGGCCCGCAGGAGGCAGACCGTATGGACGAGCTGGAGTATGAGGTGAGCCGGGCGGCCAGGCCAGGCCAGGGCCCCCCGCCAGCTTCAGGAGCCAGCCCCCCGCTGGCTGGTTGTAGCCCAGCCCGGGCCTGGCTCCCGCTGTCCCCAGGCGGCCGAGTCCCGTGGCCCTTGCCCACGCGCAGCTGGTTACTCAGGCTCACGGGCTGCACTGGGTCGAGCCGGGCCGCGTCGGGGAGGGCGTGGGTGAGGTCCTTAGTCAGTCTGTGTTGGTGAGTCTGTGTCCCACGCATGTCTGTGTCCCGTGTGTCCCGTGTGTCTCGTGTGAGTCTCGGGTGTGTCCCGGGCGTGTCCTGGTAGGGGAGACCACGGCACACGTGCGCCGCTTGGGATGGTAAGAGACCCTCCGAGCCGGAGGCTGCGACCTGGGCTCCGGTGACGCGCTGCTGGGGTCGGAGCCGGGCCGTGGCTGCCGCCCCTGTAGCGTGCCTCCTTGCTCACGTGTTTTGGGGGCTTTCTTCCTTTGCTTCTCCCCCCCACTCCCTGTGGCAGGAGGTGGAGCTGTACAAGACCAGCCACCGGGACAAGCTAGGCCTCATGGTCTGCTACCGTACGGATGATGAGGAGGACCTGGGCATCTATGTTGGAGAGGTAGGAAGGCGGGGTGCGGGACTGGGGTCTTCTGGGAGGCGGGGGAGCTCGGTGCCTCCTCATGTGTGAGGACACCCAGGCTGGACTTTGACAGCGTTCGTCTGTCTGGCACCTGCAGTGGGGACGGGAGGGCACCGTGGTGACAGGTGCTGAGGCGGGGTCTAGCACACGGAGAGTCCCCACGCCGTCTCATCCCTGTGGCCTCTCCATGCCACCCAGGGCTCTGTGGCTGCCCGTAAAGGCCCGGCTGCCCAGGGTGGCGCCTGCTCAGCATGGCACAGGGCAGCTAATGGCTTCAGTGCGTGTTCATCCAGGAGACTTGTGCCCAGGCTGGGACAGTGAGCAAGGCTGAGGTCCCGGCCAGGCTTCGTTGTCCCTCCCACGTTCTGCGGCCAGCCCCTCCTGGGACTCGCAGTGGTTGTGCTTCCCCACTTGTCTGTGGTGGACACACATGTCCACAGGAGGGTGGGTGGCTCGCCAGCCAACCCCCAAACTCTGGCCAAGTCAACCTCTGTATGAATATCTTAACAGCCATCAAGCCCCAGGACTGGTATGCGTGTGTGTGTGTGTGTGTGTGTGTGTGTGTGTGTGTCCCCACCCCACCCATCCAGCTTCCTCCATTTACCCAGCCTCTGAAATGGAAAAAAACAGGTTTCCATGCAGAAGAGTATATGAGTGCCAGTGGGGGGTGTGGGCATGGGCCTGGGGGTGATAGGCAGGGGCTGGGGAGAGGTGATTAGCCCAAGACCCACCGTTTTGTCCCTGCCTCGTGGAGCTCGGAACCTTCTGAGCTGAAGAGGGAGCAAGCAAGAAGGAGACCTCAGCTTGCTTCGGGAACCCCCAAGGCGAGGCTGCCCCCTGTCACCAGAAGGGAACCTGAGTGAGGGGCGCCAGGTCCCCATGATGCATCTGCCTTGCAGGTGAACCCCAACAGCATTGCAGCCAAAGACGGCCGGATCCGTGAGGGAGACCGTATCATCCAGGTGAGTGGGGTGGGCAGGCCTGACCGTGGTCCCCACTGCTCCGGCTGCCCAGCGACCTCTCGGTAGCCAGTCCAGCTCTCTCCTGCTGAGAGCCTCCTCCGATGGCCAGGCGTCCTGCCGTGCCTGAAACCAGGGCTGGGTCTCCTCTCTCTCCGGTACAACTGCCCCGGGTGGCTCCCACGTGTCGTCAGACCTGCTGGCGTCAAGGGCCTGTGCTGCGGTGGCACCTGGCCAGCCTCTCCCTCCATCCCCCAGATGTGAGCATGTGTCCCACTATACACTGTTCCCGGGGCACATGTGCCAGACAGGAGCACAGGCCAGGCTCTCGTCCCCCTGGGCACTTCCACTTGGTTTCCATACTGTCAGAGCTCAAGAACCCTTCCTAGCCCAGGGTGCTCTGCTTGGAGCTCCCTACGACGGGGTCCTTGTGGTTCAGCTGGGGCCCGCCCCAGAGCCGGTGCCAGCATTCTCTTTGATTGTCCCTCGGCTTGTCACAGATAAATGGTGTGGACGTCCAGAACCGGGAAGAGGCGGTGGCCATTCTGAGCCAGGAGGAGAACACCAACATCTCCCTGCTGGTGGCCCGGCCTGAGAGCCAGGTGTGTGTGTGTGCCCGGCAGGATGTTCTGGGACCCCTGACAGCGGGCTTTCTGTGGGAGCTGCTGATCTGTGACCAGGGCACAGACATGCCAACAACCTGGCACTGGTGGAGGGTGGGTAGGGTCTTTGGGGCCCATTTCCCCTTCCGGCCTCTGATGGCCCAGTGCGCTGGGACCACCCTCTCTCTTGGGTCATTCAACTTGATCGAGACCAGGAGGCCGGGTACGGGACCTCGAGGCCCACTGGTGGGTGGTATCCGGGGAGGTCCTTAAAGCCGTGGAGACAGCACAGCCCTGTGTCTGCAGCTGGCAAAGCGGTGGAAGGACAGTGACCGGGATGACTTTCTGGATGACTTTGGCTCCGAGCAGGAGGGGGACCTGCGTGCACGGAAGCTGAAATCGCCCCCTGCCCAGCAGGTGAGGAAGGAGGCTGGGTGGGTGGCGGGGAGGGCGAGCCGGAGGCCCTTCCCATCCCGACCCCTGCCTGCGGGACCCACACTGAGCGGGGCCCGTCTCTCTGCCCCAGCTTGGCAACGAAGAGGAGAAAGGGGTCCCCGATGCGGGCCCGGGCCTGAGCAACAGCCAGGAGCTGGACAGTGGGGTGGGCCGCACGGACGAGAGCACCCGCACGGAGGAGAGCTCCGAGCACGACCTGCTGGGCGACGAGCCCGCCAGCGCGGCCAACACACCCGGGGCCCTGCGCAAGAGCCGCGACCTCCACTTCAGCATGGACTCCCTGCTGGCCGAGGGGGCCGGCCTGGGGGGCGGCGACGTCCCGGGCCTCACCGACGAGGAGTACGAGCGCTACCGAGAGCTGCTGGAGATCAAGGGCCACCTGGAGAACGGCAACCAGCTGGGCCTGCTCTTCCCCCGCGCGTCGGCGGGCAACGGCGCCCTGGACGTGAACCGCAACGAGAGCCTGGGCCACGAGATGGCCATGCTGGAGGAGGAGCTGCGGCACCTGGAGTTCAAGTGCCGGAACATCCTGCGGGCGCAGAAGATGCAGCAGCTGCGGGAGCGCTGCATGAAGGCCTGGCTGCTGGAGGAGGAGAGTCTCTACGACCTGGGGGCCGGCGAGCCCAAGAAGCACGAGCTGTCCGACATCTCCGAGCTGCCCGAGAAGTCGGACAAGGACAGCACCAGCGCCTACAACACGGGCGAGAGCTGCCGCAGCACCCCGCTGCTCGCGGAGCCCCTGCCCGAGAGCCCCCTGCGGCGGGCCGCCGCCGCCACCGGCAACTCCAACCTGAACCGGCCCCCCTCGGGCCCCGCCGTGGCCGCCCACCCCAAGGCCGCCGCCGGCCCGCAGGGGAGCCCCGCCAAGTTCCGCTCCCTGTCGCGTGAGCCCGAGGTGGGCCGGAGACCGCACCCGGAGGAGCGCGTCCGCCGAAGCCCCAAGACGGGCGCCACCCTGGAGCGCGTGGGCCCCGAAGGCAGCCCCTACCTGGCCCGGCGCCACCGCGGCCAGGGCCAGGAGGCCGAGCACTACCACAGCTGCGTGCAGCTGGCCCCGCCGCGTGGCCTGGAGGAGCTGGGCCACGGCCCCCTGGGTCTGGCCGGCGGCCCCCGGGTGGGCGGGGCCGTGGCGGCCACCGAGGCGCCCCGCATGGAGTGGAAGGTCAAGGTGCGCAGCGACGGGACCCGCTACGTGGCCAAGCGGCCGGTGCGCGATCGCCTCCTCAAGGCCCGGGCCCTGAAGATCCGGGAGGAGCGCAGCGGCATGACCACGGATGACGACGCGGTGAGCGAGATGAAGATGGGCCGCTACTGGAGCAAGGAGGAGCGCAAGCAGCACCTGATCCGCGCCCGGGAGCAGCGGAAGCGGCGCGAGTTCATGATGCAGAGCCGGCTGGAGTGCCTGCGGGAGCAGCAGAACGGCGACAGCAAGGCCGAGCTCAACATCATCGCCTTGAGCCACCGCAAAACCATGAAGAAGCGGAACAAGAAGATCCTGGACAACTGGATCACCATCCAGGAGATGCTGGCGCACGGCACTCGCTCCGCCGACGGCAAGCGGGTCTACAACCCTCTGCTCTCCGTCACCACTGTGTGAGCCCCTCCCGACACCCCGGCCCCCACCCTCCCTTAGAATCTAGTGTGTGTCTGCGTGTGTGTGCACAGGACTGTGTTACCAGACAGCGGCCCCCCAGGAGAAGGGACACTTCTCTCCATCGGCCACTTCCTGCTCCCCAAGTGCAGCCACCACGTTGACACCTGGCACGGGGTGGGGGGAGGGGGGCAGACGTGTGACAGGCACCCCTCCAGCTCTGTGCGGCCCCTGTGCGCGCACACACACCCCCCACCCCACCCCCGACCCCCAGAGCTCTCAGCATGGGTACTTGGGGACAGGAACGTCGGACTGGAAAGGAGAGGCGGAGGGGACTGTCCTAAGCACAAGAGAAGGCCTGGCTTCCAAGCCGAGCACAGCCTCGCCCCCTGCCGGGAGCCTTGGTTATTTGTTAGACAAAGGCAACCCTGAGTTTTGTGGTTTTTCTCCCTTTCTGTGCTTGCCAATTGTTGTTTTTCTGTTTCGTGGACCTGCTCTGGGGGCTGGCAGCTCCTTCAGGCAGCCTGACAAAAAAGTGGAACCCCCGGTGATGGCTGGGAAGGACGTGGGTGGGGGGAAGGAGGAGAGGGAGGGCTGGGCTGGGGCAGGGGGAGGGAAGGGTTGGGGAAGAAGGGGACAATGGGAAGCAGCTTTCTCGGTGGTCTCCACTCTGAGGCGTGGGGACGGGGAGCCTCTGTGTGGCTCAGGAGGCCCACCCTGGGGGCCACTTCCTTCCCCGATGACCGAGGGAGAGCCAAGACGGAAGCAGCAGTGGAAGACCTTGGTGACAAGACCCACACCGAGCTGAGGGAGAGGCCTGGACCCGAGAGAGACGGGCCCGGCCAGCTGGGCTGACTGGGGAGAAGATGCTCTGCACCCCACTTTGCAAGCGTGGACCAGGCCCAGCCCCCAGGGCCCCTGCGGCTCCGAGAGCCTCAGACTGGAGGCAGACAGGCTGCCCACCCCTGCCCCCCATCGGCATTGAGAGAATAAAGCAAGCTGCCTTTTTGAGGTGACTCCTGGCGTCTGTGTTCATTCTCACCGGGCGGGTGGGCAAGGCGCGCCTCTGTGCTTCCCCTGTCCTCGAGGGACGGCAAGGCCTTCTCAAGTACCCAGAGCACAAGCCAGTCCACCCGAATGATGTTAGGAGTGTGCCGTGGTCACACGGGTGACCCCGAGGCAGGCCTCCGCCCTGCGAGGCCAACCCTGGTGTAGTGGAGCCTTGAGAAGCAGGTTCTGGCCTCCTCCACGCCCCAGTTCAGGAAGAGCCCTAGAAGAGGCACGGAGCTGAGACCCTCTGGGAGGCACAAACTACCCTTGTCTGGGGACCCACATGGTGCCCAGCACGGAGATTGCCGAGTAGACGCCCTGTGGCCAGATGCCTGAGCACCCGGGTGGCTGCGGAGGACCCTTCCGTGTTGGGAAGGAACCCCCAGCGGGGCAGCCAAATGCTCGAGGTTCCCTTCAGTGCAGCAAACCACTGGGCATCTGCTAGGTGCTGGGTGGGGCCCTGGGGCCCCAAAGAGTGCCATTCCGGGAGCCCCAGCTTGGGGGGGGTGTGTACCTCCTGGGGTGGGCGGCTGCCAGCAGCTGAAGCGCGCGAGGATGCATTAAGATTCTAAGGAAACATCCGCGCAGGCCTCTCATCAATTCCCCTAATTTGCTGAGATGGGCGTGAGTGAGAAATCCGAGAAATCCAAGCAAGTGTTCCCAGAAGCCTGGGCCCTGAGGGTGGCCAGCTGGGCGGGGGGGGGGGGGGGAGGCCCGGAACAGTGGGAGGGACGAAAGCGCTTGTTGGTGACAAGGAGCCACGGGAGCCGAAGGAGTTGGGGGGGCCCTGGGAGGCCTCTGGAGCCCAGCACCGGGAAGATGGCACATCTTCCTCGGGAGGGGTACCTGGGTCCCCGAGCAGGCCCTGTGGAGGCGGGGGCTCCAGGGGCCCATCCCTGCTGCAGGAAACTGGCTGGCCGTTGCTGCAGGCTCACCTGGTCAGCACCAGAGGCGCTCCGTTCTTGCCTCGGGGGACAGGGGAGGCCGGAGGCCCAGTGCTCCTGGGATGGGGGCGACAGGCCGCTAACCTGGAGTTCCCTGCCGCCTAGAAGCTGACACTGGGGCTCTGAGACGCTGGCGCCAGGAGGGCCATTAGCTACAGCTGCCCTGGAGTAGTGACTTCATTCACATCGGGGCCCTCTGGCCGCTGAGCAGAATCAAGAGCTGCCGAGCGGCCAACAGCTGCCATTGTCCACGCTGCCTGCCCTGCACGGGCTGCTGGCAGAATGGGAGGACCAGTCTCCTTTCACTCCTTGGCAGGGAGGGGGAGCAGCAGGCACCCCTTAATTACCACTGTGAATCTGATTCCAGAAAGCTCTCCCCGCCAGGAGTCGTAGCCTGGTGGGATTATTAGGGGACTCAGCCCCAAGCGTCCTGCTGCAGCCCTCCCTTGGGGAATAAGGAGCCAGCTCCTCCCCACTTCACCCCACTTCCAGAGGAGTGAGGGACAAGGAACCGGGAGAGGCTAGTGTCCCCCAGTCTGGAGGAGGTCCCCAGGCAGTGCCGGCTCACAAGCCACCCTCCACACACCTGGCCCCTCTCAGTGCTAAGAGCAGTGGGTGCTCAGGGGAGGGGACACAGAGAAAGCGCCAGGCCAAACTGGAAGCTGGCTCTTCAGAGATGGGGAGGGTGGCCCACATCATCTTTCCGACACGTCCTGGGCCTTCCACGTGTCCCACCCGACGCCATGCCGTGAGAACCCACTGGGAGGCAACACAGAGGAGGTGGGGTGGAGGGCGTGGAAGGAGCACTCCTCAGCTGCCAGGCGTCACGGCTTCAGCTACAGGAGTAAGCTAGGGGGACCCCTGGCGCTCCACATGACCAGCAAGGGAGGTTGTCGCCCCTGCCAGGACCCCACACGGGGCACTTGGAAGGCAGCTCAGGCTGCATCTACACATGTTGCCAACTGCTGGACCTCAAGGAAGCTGGGGGCGGCCCGACCTTGTCTGGCACTTGCCCTTTCAGTGGCAGGAGGTCGGGGCAGACCAAGGCAGTGGCAGGATGAGCCCACACCCCGCCCAGCCCCATGCAGGCAGCTGGGAGAGACCAAGGCAGGCAGCGGGGGCAGCAGGCAGGGCAGGCTGAAGTGGGGGCCGAGGAAGGAGAGGCTGCGATGGCTGAGCATGCAGCACACACGCGAGGCGGGGGAGCTCTGGCCCCGTCCCCATTCAGAGCCTGCGCTGTCCAGGTAGAGCAGGGCACCAGCTGCCAGCCCCTGCCGGTGTGTACATGACACGACAATGCGAGGCAGGAGCTCGTGTCCTGAATACTGGTGAGAGCCAGCAACTGTTTATTGAAAGTAGCAAGAGCCCAGGGGTGCCACCTTCAGGCCTGGATGTGACTCTTGGCACTGAAGGCCAGGTAGTAGATCACTAGGCCGATGGCTGCAGCCAACACCTCCGTAGAGACCCAGGGCCCGTTCCAGGTGCCCTGTGAGAAAGGAAACCAGAGTTAGCTCGGGGCAGAGCCAGGCAAGGAGCCAGCCCACCCTAGTCACTCTCCCTTCAGGGCACAAAGGTACACTGGCCAACCAAAGCCCGATCCCACCCCTCAAAAACGGCGAGGCTTGCTGTGTGCTCCCTGCTTCCCCTCGAGACTGGGCCACTCACCCGATGGTCCACACTGACCGTGAACAGGGGTGGGATGATGGAAATGTCCTCATTATTTCTCTGAGCCTGCAAGGGAGATGCTGGGGTCAGGGGTGCTGCCAGGTGGGGCACAGAGGGGCCGGACAGGCAGCAGCGTTGGCCCGATGCATGGAAGACAGAACCAGGCAAGAGATGAACGTGGGAGGTGCAAGGACAGGTGTGGCAGGCGGTCAGGAAGGTGCCCACCCAGCCGTTGTAATCTGTGAAAGCGAGGTCCCTGCTAAGAGGGGGCTGCAGGGTGGAGATGACTGTGGAAGATGACTGTGGAAGTGTCCTGGAGGCCAGGGCGGGGCCCTGGGTGACTGATACTCACCTTCCTCAGGAGGCTGTAGGACTCCTCATCGAAGAATCTGACCTCGTAGGTACCTGCATGGGCGCTCTTGTGGTCTAGGCTCCAGGATACCTGGGTTGGGTATGTTCGGCAGGGGGTGAGCACAGTGGACACACCAAGGTCCCCTGCTAGTGGTGACAGTACCACTACCAGCATCACGAGTCACAGAACCTCAATCCTCCACCGGGCCACCCCTGCACCTTCAAAGTTGTGCCTGTGAGCAGATGGCCTCCCCTCAAAATGACAACTGCAGCATCCCTTACCTGATAACGCCCCACGTCCTGGCCCCGGGTGACAGGAAACTGTTTTCCACTGACGTCAGCATAAAGAGCCATGTTCTGGGAGAGGGAACAAAGAGAGAGTCACCTTCTCCCCTCTCTGGTGGTCAGGAGCCCCCAATGTGGGGCCTATGGGCAGCAAGGCTGCACACAGTCAAGGACTGGAATGTGTCTGGCAGGGGGCAGCACGTGAGAACCATGGAGGTAGCCTGCCATGACCCAGAGACATGCCAGGAAGCCAACACCCAGATGCTGTTTGTGCCTCTCCGCATGTCTCCCCTATGTGGGGGGCACATACCCCACCGTGGCTGAGCCTCCCTAACCCACAGCAAGCCTGTTAACTGTGAACAGAGGCAGGACGACTGAAGCGTACTTGTTATTCCTGAGCCTGGAAGCAGGTGTTGGGGTCAAGGGGTGCCCAATGAGCCACCCGAGGAGTGTTGTACCCAGAAAGGCCACCTTGGCAAACCACAACCAGAAAAAGAATACAGGAGCCTGGGAGCTGGCTATACCCCTGCTGTTTCTTACTTCAGCGTCTGCTGTTATAAGGCACAGCGAGAGATCTACCTACGTATTTCACATCTAGGCTGATCAGATTAGGAAAATGTTCTTTTAACACCTCCTTTATTTATTTTAGAGATTTATTTATTTATTCATGATAGAGAAAGAGAGAGAGAGAGAGAGAGAAAGAGAGAGAGGCAGAGACACAGGCAGAGGGAGAAGCAGGCTCCATTCAGGGAGCCCGATGTGGGACTTGATCCGGGGAGTCCAGGATCGCGCCCTGGGCCAAAGGCAGGCGCTAAACCGCTGAGCCACCCAGGGATCCCCCCCCTTTTTTAAAGATTGTATTTATTTTTTCATGAGAGATACACAGAGAGAGAGAGGCAGAGACACAGGCAGAGGGAGGAGCAGGCTCCACGCAGGGAGCCTGACGTGGGACTCGATCCCAGGTCTCCAGGATCACACCCTGAACTGAAGGCGGCGCTAAACACCTCCTTTAAACAGCCTGGCCTGGAGCAGCCCCGGTGGCTCAGAGGTTTAGTGCCGCCTTTGGCCCAGGGTGTGATCCTGGAGACCCGGGATCGAGTCCCATGTCATGCTCCCTGTGTGGAGCCTGCTTCTGTCTCTGCCTGTGTCTCTCTGTGTGTGTCTCTCATGAATAAATAAATGAAATCTCTAAAAAAAACCAGCCTGGCCTGGCTGTGCCCTGACCTTTCTCTCCTCACCCTCCGTCTGTTCACATGGGTCTGACCCCACCAGCTG